ATTCTTGGCACAGATTCTCAATCAGACTGAGGTCTGTGTTTTAAGTATCATTGTCAAGTCTCTTGCAGACTGGAACAGGTTCTCTTCTAGGATTGCCCTGTATCTTGCCTTCAACCCTGTTAGTTTCCCAGTCCCTGCTGATGAAACACATCATCACAACATAATGCTACCACCACCATGCTTCACTGTGAGGATGGTGTTATCAGGATGATGAACAGTGATGGGTTTCTGCCAAATGTAGCACTCTGTGCCAAGGTCACAATGTTGCTGAGTCTCTGGCTGTTGTCTTTTGGAAAACTCTAAACAGGATTTTATACGTTTTTTTTTTCAATAATGACCTTTTTCTCAACACTCTTCCATGAAGCTCGGCTTTGTGGCATGTCCGGGCCGTGGTTGTCCTGTGAATATCTTCTCCCATCTGAGCTGTGGATCTCTCCAGCTCCATCGAATTATCCTTGGCTTCTTGGTAGCTTTGCTAGTCACTGACCTTTGGTCGACAGCCTTCTCTAGGAAGAGTGATGGTTGTGCTGTATTCGTTCCATTTTTATGTCTCCACCACTAGGTAGTGGAGGTATTATGTTTTTGGGGTGTAAGTGTGTCCATCCATCCGTCGGTCTGCCTGTGCATCCGTCCAAGATTTCGGCTGAATGTTTATATGATTTATATCGAATTATGATTGTAACCAGCAGATGGACTGATTAGATTTTGGAATTGAGCCAAACAGGCTCGAGGTCACATCAAGGTTAAATGTCTGAAAAAGTTTTTTTTCAACAGTTGCCTTTCTGTTTGTAGTGTATTTTAAGGTTATTTAAGGCATATGTAAGGCAGATTTGTTGGTGGCAGATGCATACTATGGCTTGTTTAGTAATGGATTTTATGATGCTCCATGGGATGTTCAAAGTTTGAGATATTTTTTTGTAACCAAACCCTGATTAATACTTTTCCAGAGGTTTGTCCCACATTTGTTTTGATAGCACCTTGGTCTTCATGATGCTGCTTGATTAGAGATATAGTCTAACAAACAAACTGGGGCTTGAGATCCTGTGACATTTTTAATTGCAAACAGGTGGACTCTATTAAAGTAATTATGTGATATTTGATGGCAATCGGCGGCCACTTTATCCTGGTTAGAACTAATTTAAAGTAATGGGGGTGAATACTTATGCAATCTCAAAACTTTTATTTATTTATTTATTCATTCATTTATTTATTTAAATTTACACATATTTTGGGATATACAATCCCAATTACATCTATTTCAGTTCCAGGTTGTAACACTACAAAATGTGGAAAAGGGGATGAATACTAATGCAAGGCACTGTACAAGTAGAGGAGAGGAGAATGTCTTCATGAGGTCCTAACTGAATAATTTAGTCACTAGTGTGTGTCTTCTCTGGATGTGCTAGTCTAGGATGCCTATTGTTTCCATGTTATGTTAATGATGGGTGATGAGGAGTCTCTGGAGGTTTTCTCCCAGCTAGCTCTTGGTAGAGTAAACATCTTTGACAAGCCAGAAGACTGCTATAAGAACTAACCAATGCAGTGAGTGTTTATAGATGCTGCATCACTTCCCCATCCACTGCAAAACCTGTTAAACATATTCAAGTCAGGGGTTCAGTGTGTTTTTCACTTCGTGACAAAAAGCCTGGGAGGAATGTGTGTTCCAGAAATTCATGCAGAAAAATCATGCAAATTTGTGTTGCAGGGGTGACGTTTGTTTGTATGGGGTTGCGGCTGTGTAAGAGGTGTTTGCTGTGTAGTCAAAGTTTGATGGCCTTCTCTGTGAAGCTTCTCTGCAGTGTGGCAGTGTGTGCAAACAGGGCATGCTGGGTATTCCTGCCCTGTCTCTCAGAAAGCTCCATGAGCTCTAGGACTATAGACACTTAGCTTTGCTAACAAAGAACATCCCCATAGCTGTTTTCTCAGCAGGAGAGTTCATTGTGTATTTATGATGCACTGCATACTTATGCAAGTATTATGGCCTTCCTGTACATAACAGTGATAAACATAAACACATTAGACCAACAACAAAACCCATTCATAATGACAGGGGATTGATTCATAATGACATAATGACATGAGGACTCTGTTTTGAAAAATGGACAGATTTCACCTTGGCTAGAACAGAGGAAGGTAAATGTGTTCCTATCAATATTCCAGCTTTAGTGCCTCAAATATCATTACAGTTATCATTCATTTGAGACAGCAAACATACCCTGTCTCTGTGCAGTTCAATATTCGTGTACCAAATAAATATGTTAACCTTGAGAGTCCGAAGGCTGTGTTCAAAGAATTTCCACCAATCTGCTGAAAATTAAGCATGGCCATTGCACTTTCAAGTGTGTTCATCTTTATCCCTAGATTATTCTTGTTTTCTGCATATATTCCATATTCCATGAGAGAATAAATGATGGAATAGCTTATGCACCTCTAGCTTCCTCAGATAAATGTGATCAGGTGATTCAGTTAAAAAACACATGCTCTGACCCATCATGTATTGTCATGAAGAAATTAAACAAATGGATGATGCATTTATATAAATGATTCTTCTATTTCAGAGGTAAAAAGGGAGCCATTATAACTGCACCCTATGTTTTTTTTTCTCAGTATGCACAAGTTCAGTGTTTTGTTTTTGACCACCAGTTATATTGTACAGAGACCTATTATTTTATTCACCTCTGCTTATAAGAATACAACCTGCATATTTCATATTACGACACATTACTTTCAGGTCCTTAAGATCACCTGTAATGTGAAAGATCTTTTGTATTTGTATTTTTATAGAAATAAAATAACATGCTACATGCTCTGCTGGCTAAATAGATGTGATTAGTTTTCATCTATTGGTGATTTTTTAAAACCAATTTACTTTTACTTTTATATTGCTCTCCTGTCCCACCATAGGTTTTAATCTAGAATAGCAGCATCAGTGTGTAATAAACAATCATTCTTCCTGGAAAAACAGAAGACCTGTTTTTGTCCATTACTTTTAACACAGTGTGGGGAGAGAACATGAAATTTATATTAAAAACAGGTCTAATAAAAGCACTGAACGTAGTGAGAGAGAGAGAGAGAGAGAGAGAGAGAGAGAACAAAAACACCCAAAGGTAACACCAACATGGTTATATTGTGGTTATATACTAAATCAAAGAGGAAACTTGTAACTGTGAGAAGATCATTGGGCACAGGATGGGGTGGTGGGGGTTGGGGGCATTGGAAAATTAGAAAACGCACCAGGTCCTGATATGCCCCTATGGACAAATATAAAGCTTTTTAAGGAAAAATATGAGAGATGTCTTATAACTATGGCTTCCACATTGACTAAAAGGTGCTCCAATAACCATTATACTGAGAACAGGAAACCATTCTTACAGGTCCATTTTCATTAATTAATTCTGACACAAAGGTCACTGCGAAAGTGCTGGCTTTAAGACTGAAGTGATATTTACTCTTTTCTGTAAGTCAAGATCAGAATGGCTTTGTTAGAGATCACTGTAAGAAAGAGTGTTAAAGGCACGTCATATGGAAAATGAAAAGGCTGCACTGGATAATTGTGTGCTGAAAGGCATTTAAATGAGTACAGTGAGATTATATTAGTATGATATATTCACAGTATGATCACCATATTCCATTATACCATATAATCTGCTTTCAGTATATCATGATATCTGCTTTCAACATTTCTGATTAACATATATATATATATATATAT